CTGAAGAGGAAAGTGAGCCGCTCCTGTTCAGTATCACTCCAAATACTTCACCATTCCCATCTTCGTCGGCAGCCGTCGATTTGGGATCGTGGGTGTCGACGGTCTTGAATCTGCTTTGGGCTGGGAGGAGCGTCGGGGAGAATGAAATCTGAGAAATCCGTGGATTTTGAGTCGGGGTAGCTGGAGTGTTTGATCTTGGTGTACCTATTCATTTGTTGTTAGCTCTTTGTTAGCAGAGGCGGGGATAAGGTCAGAGGGTTTGCAAGTGTAGAGAGGAAAAGAGGAAGGATTGGGGTCGGACTTTGGAGGCAGAGGTCATGGGGAGTCTACATATATATATAAAAGGATGAGTGTCTAAATTTTAGCATTTTATTTCCTTATTTTTTCTGTTTCATTTAATTCATTATTTTTTAAATTTTGTGATTGATATTAATAGAAGGATGCATGTTAGTAGTATCCTTCCAAACCACAATTTTTTAATTTTTTTATATAGAAATAAATTCATTATTCTTATGATTCTATGGAATAGAGATTATTTTAATGGGTGAAATTATTTGAATTTAATGAAATTATTTAAAGTTTTTATATTATTATGTCAAATGTGTATTTAAATTATTTTTAAAATATTTAATTTGTGACAATTGATCTGTTTGAATCATGAAATGAAGCAAAATCAAATCCACATGCTAGCATGAGGGTCTCTATTTCTCAATTTTGATGTAGATTGGAGGACTTGGTCTGTGGTAAATAATTCAATTTTCTTTTAAGTGTAGAAGATGGACCCGTGCGTGAGGGCAGGGATAGACAGGGAAGGTTCGAAGCACCGACCCAGAAGCACAAGTGGGAATGAGACGTTGAAGTACTGGAGGTAGAATTTAAGGTGGATGGAGACAGATCTGTTTCAAAATATTTTTTATTTTTTTGTTTTTTAAAATTAGTAAAATTATATTTAAAAATTAATTTTTTTGTTTTTTCTTTGGATTTCCTTGCATTTTCTATTAAATTATATTCTAAAAAGTTAGAAATCAAATTCTAAAAATATAATTTTTCAATTTTTCAAGGTAAACCAAACACTTCATTTAAAAAGTTATTATATGCAAAACACGAAAAAGGAAATGAAAAATTACTGATTATAGTGGTCTAATAATTTTAATTATTTGAAGAGTTAAAAATATAAAAATTTTTTTATTCGATGTTAGAAAAAAATTTTACTGGTTAAAGGCATTTATATTTTTAAATTATATTTATTACTATAACTGTCGCAAGTATAAATTTGTGTAATATAAATATGAATTAACTGATAATTTTTTTTATTCTGAATAAAAATATTTTATATTTTAACCCTCAAAGCCATTATTTTCACTAGACTACCCGGCTTGCTAATTTTTCATAGAAAAATCCTGTGGAGTCACTCAGAAGGAAAACAAATCCTCTCCTTGTTATACACAATTAAAAAAAATATGTAACTCAATTTAACTGAATATATTTACAAAAATGACTAAATTATGAGTTATTGTGCGTTGCCTTGAGTGCCGAAGTGAAGTGATGGATTGGAAAAAGAAAAAAAGGAAAAGGAAAAGAAAAGGAAAAGGAAAAGGAAATTTTCTATAGAAAGAAGCCATCACCTTAGCCAGGAGGACATGGGTGGGCCAAGCCATGTGCTATGAAAATGGAGCTTTCTGAGATAAATAATAACAAGAAACACGAAGGATATCTGGAGAAATATTTTTAAACGGACAATGCATGTGAGAGAGAGAGAGGAAGGGGGGGGGGGGGGGGGGGGTTGCTTTTGAAGTTTGACCACTACCGACCCTCGAAGCTATAATAGGTAAGTCCATAGTGGTGTGTTCACGCCCGTGAAACTGCTTTCATTTTCTGGGAATTGTAGAGCTAAGCCCTTCTCCATTCTTCTACAATTTTAAAAGTGCGGACTTTTATTTTCGTGGTTAAAATTTTAAAGAGAATGTATCTTAAAAAAGAAAATATTTATTTATAAAATAAAATATTTAAAAAGTACTTATTTCACTTCTATTATATATATATATATTTATCTTCTTTATTCTTTCAAACCAGCATAACTATTTACATATATATATATATATATATAATAGTTCTCTAACTTTAAATTTTATTATTTTAATCTCTATATTAGTCTTTTATTTATTCTTTTATTCATATCAATTTTAAAAATATTAATTTTTTTTATATAAGTACTTGACTTAAAAATAATATATAAAAATATATTTTAAAAATGTATACTATAAACACATTCAATATATGCCAAAAAATGCCTGATTTACTTTTAAAACATCACACCTTAAAAACATTTTCAATTTTAAGATCGTAATAAAACGACCTTTGGTATTGATCTCGTGCTCTAATTTTTAGGTTCTTAAAATTTTAAAAATATAAATCTGCTTTTTTTTTCGTCTTGTATTTACTCTAGCAATTATAAGAGTAATCCTATATATTCAGTTCATTTTTCTCTTATTTTATTGAGGCACTGCTTCCACTACTTTAAAATTTTCGTACACTATTAATACAAGTATTTCCAATCTTTCTACGAATAATATTGAAAAAACATTCATTTAAGATGATTTTAATCTACAATTTTAAAGAACCTTAAATAAATATATCAATAAAAAGAACTTAGTTGAGAGTTTTTTTCCTTGGTTCAAATGAGAACATGACATAACTTAATTTGTTTTAGGGTGTTTGCAAATACTCGTAGAGATTAGAAGTAAGGTGCTTTAAGTAAAAATAGGTAAAATTAGATTATAATCAGAAGTAGGAAGCATTTGTAAAATGTATAAAAAAATGCTTAAAATTAGTAAAAGAGTATTTAAAAAATAATTTTATAAAGTGATTGTAGATAAATTTTTACAATAAAAGACCATTTTTACCCCTATATATAACTTTTTTAATTTATTTTTTCCATCATTTACCATTTTTCCTTTTTTTTCTCTCATCTCTCTCTCTCACTCTCACTTCCCACCGGCCCGTCACCCTGCCAATCGCTGGCCTCTACATGCAATGACAAAGCTCCTCATTGCTATGCGCAATGGCGACGAGGCCCCTCCTTGTCGTTGCGTATAGCAACGACGTCCCCCTTCCCCGTTGCCGTGCAAGAGAGAGATGCTCGCAGCTAGTCCCAAGGAGGTTTGGAAGGAGCCGAAGAGGGAATCTGGATAAGGAGGGAGGGAGTAATATGGAGAAGGCAAAGTAGAAAATAAAAAAAAAATTATGTAAAAACAAAAATATAAAAATAATTATAAAATAATGTTTTTTTAATTACAAATTTGTCATTGAAATCTGAAACACTCTATTCCCAACTTCAAAACTTCTTTTTTTTTTTTTTCTGCTTAATTTTAAGTAGGTAAAAATCAAAAACAACCATACAAAACACTTTATTAGTGCTTTTGTGCTTTGGGAAGTGCTTGTGCACTTCCCATAAGCATTTGCAAACAAGGCCTTAGTTTTCGTTTTAAAACTGCTATTTTCAAACAGTACTTCTAAAAGATGAAATGGGAAATATTTTGTAAATTATATTAATGGCATTTTTTGTAAATTATAATTAATGATATGCCAAATTTCTTATACCCATTAAAATAAAATACGTTAAAACAAATGAATAACTCAGCGATAAGAGCTGTTTAAAGTTGAAATCCGAATCCATGACCAGGATTCGAGCCTTTGCAGTTAGCACACCCCCCCCCCCCCCCCCCTCTTGCCCACCCATGTAGGGGGAAAAAAACAGAAAACAAAAAACAAAAAGAAAAACGAAACATGAAGAGATCATATGACTACAAACGATACGCCGTGACATCTCATCCATGTGACAGACGAGTTTGCTATTACTTTTGACTTCGTAATAATACTTTGACACCGAACCCTGACGTTCATTAGACTACTACATAGGATCAAACAGTGAGGCTGACAAAATCGCGTCTTTATATCAAACAGTTCAATACTGACACGGGTAACGCCAGCAAACGAGAAGAACGAGGAAAACGAAAATAAATGCTGCTGAAAATTTTATAAAAGAAAAGGCAATCGTCTTCCTATAAATCACTGGAGAAAAATACAGGGCCAAGCTAATCAAAAGAAGAAAATTATCTGAAATCAAATATAACATCCGCAAATTCTTAATTAGAATGAAACAAGGAAAGGGAGCAAAAGGGTGAACCGGCAGTAATGCTAACAAACATTTTATTCACCGTCTTCCCTACACGGTAAATGTTGGTCACACCACTTGGTAGTTCTCTGTGGATAGAAGTGTTCTCTGAGCAAACTTGGGAGATGGCCCCCCTTTCAGAGGCAAGATGCTGAGAACCTGCCGAGAATTGATTGCGTTTAAATATATTGGGAAGATACCACAAACCAATGCTAAAAAACTTCAGGCAGCCTTATCCGCTTTCCCATATTTAACAAACCCTATATGCTGGCAGCCATAATGCAAATTGAGAAATAAGAAGCATACCTTCAGGTCACTAAATGTGTTTGCAGCTGTAAAACGCACAGAAATAGGAAAAAGACTGATGGATCTGCTGGGGGGACAACGAATTCCATAGATCCACTGCCAATTTTGTAATATCAAGTAAAAAGCAAACCAAAACTTTAGATGACAGTCCGTAAAGAAAAGAAGCATCTAGGGTAAGAAATATGATCATATGCTAACCTGCGGTTGGAATTATCAATGAGTAGTATGGACCATTCCAAGATGGAATTTCTGGAGTCATACCTGTGAAAGAACAAGTACTGTGAGTTCCATTTGAAACAAGTATGGAACAGAAAATCAGTTGATTAATGACTAATGAATGAATCATTAAACAATACAACTTTTAGAAAGTCCTTTAAAAGCAAAATTATCAAAGAGATGCCCAAATAGAAATGAGCTTTTTTGCAGTAATTAATGAAGTGCAGTACAACTGAGAGTCTGAAGGTTCCATTTTAAGAAGTTACAATTAAAGCTACATGAATTGGCAATTCTGGTGCATGTCCTAGTAGGTCAATTTTGAAAGCATTTGAAGCCGTACAAATGGAGTGCTGAAAATGCATGAACCTCTGCATTTGCAAAAGTGAGCACAGCCAAATGATGTGCAAATTGTATTTTACATATTTTGCAGGATATCCTTGAAGTATGCTTAGTTCTGAAACTACAATGACCCTCCAAACTGTGTAAGCAAGAGATTGAACAATATAAATATTGGCTGTACCTCCATTCACCATCAATTTGTCTGACACTCGGTGCTTCTCTAAGAGCAGGAAGAGGTACTGAGACCACGACATTCTGCAAGTCAAACAATGATGAAGCTTCGTATTCGATACTGACATAAGTTTCATTCCCAGAAACTGACGGCAGCAGTTGACTGAAACATGACAGATCTGAATGAATAACTAGGCCAATAAAGAAAAAAAGAGAAAGTTATACATCAGAAAGATATCCAGGTGAAATGCAAACCCACTGGTCAAAGGCACAACTGATTCATCTACACTTTGCATTCTCCATTTCAACAGACCAACACCATCACCAGATTGACCAGAGGGAAATGGCCTGTTAGGATCTTTGAGACCTAGAATATTTTCACTGGAAAACAGCTCTTTGTTGATGTTAGGGTGGGTCTTGAAGAGGACGCCTGGATTCCCCCAGTCTCAATCTGTAAATAAGTTAAAATGTTATAAAGCATGCCACTAGATTAAATCTGCAAAAATAACATATGAAATGGCTAAACAATATAATCTTTGAAATACCAAATAAAATATGACATGGGGTTCACTTTTCTCAAACAATTAAAGAACACCTTCTTTGATAAAGACAGACTAAAATCTTGCATGTGGCAAACAATAATATATTGGCATACGAACAATAAATGTCAATGATGACATCTCACAGTACCCAAGAACAGTAAAATGTCGCTTCCTTCTGAAATTGAGTAGATGCCTTCCCAAAGTTCCCACAAGAGCTTAAAATAGATTCATGCCAACACAGATGTACAAGTGGTACCAACCTAGAGACACCCACCACCCCCCCCCCCCCCCCCCAAAAAAAAAGAAAAAAAAACCACCACCACCACCGCAGTTCTACCTGGTAGCATGTAATGATGTATAAATCATGCATGGATGTATGTGAACAGCCAGCTGTACAAGACAAGGACAAGTGTGCTTGCTCACCAGATATCCAGATGCACACACCAACACACACACACATAGAGAGAAAGGACCTGAACTTGGATGAGCCCATCTTCTTGGTTAAGAATTTGAAGAGATAAGGTTCCCTGAACATCAAAGTTACTAACACACACCATCTCGCTTTAGTGTCACATTGAGCTTCTCCTCAATGTCAATGTGATAGGATCAGTTGGGGGTGGGATAGCAGCTTTGGATTGACCAATAGTTGGACGGACATCTCAAGAATCACCTCGCCTTCAGCTTTCAAGGATTCCAAAAATTGGTTTGTCTTTTGTGTTTTACCAAGCTGCATTCCAAGACCCTTTGGAGGTGCAGTAGCTGATGCAGCAGGACGACCTAGTGAAGCAAAAAAAGAGATGTCTAAGCCCTAAATGATTTCCTATCCTCTTGGACCATATTTCACAAAGAAAAATACCTCCAATCAATACAGAGGAAACCAAATTTATTTTCAAAAAGGAGAAGCAAACTACATTAGCTTTGAGAACTGAAACTGATATCATAATAATAGTGTTATCCACCATCAAGAACATACTTGCAAATAATTTATCAATACAGAAAAAGACAAACAAAGCATGACAGTTTAGTGGATAAAAGTAACCAAAGATATGAGAAGCAGTATGACCTTTAATATTGTGTCATGGTATAGGATAATCAAGGTTGTCAAGAAAATGAAATGTTTTTAATCAAGCACAAATTTCACCAATCCAATTTAGCATGGAGCAAGAGGATGATGCCTGATTCATTATTAACAAAACACTAATAGACATGGAAGTGTTAAATCCACCATGGTTAACCTTGAACTTCCTATTTTATTACTCAACTACTGGCAATAAATTATTTCAGGACCAACCTATGTGCTTACAGTGTCAGTTTGTACGGGTAACAGAAGAATGCCTGCACATATTATCACATGATATTCTCCAGTATTAAAACAAGATAATGGCATTTTCCTCAGCACAATCCATGTCATATAGAAGACAGAGATCAAATGCAGTGAATTTCTCCTCATTCAGTTGTAAGCTTAAAAAAGAAACAGCATGTCAACCTTACAGTTTACACTCACAAGCAAGCTGCATGTATTAACCCATGCAAACTTAACAGCAGTTGTTTGTCAAGCAGGTGTATCAACTGCACTTACACTAGAACACATTAACCTTATAGGTCATACAAACAAGTTAAACATGAAAGCGTAGCAAGGTATAATTTTGCAATCATGGTAAAAACTGATTCAGCCTATTGAACAAAAAGGAGAAAGAAACTTTTATTTCTTAACTTCGTCTTCCAACACAGTCTACATCAAAAAACAGAAAGACAATGAAAAAGTTTAAAATTCTGTTCAAAAAAGTGAAAATGAAGAGAAACTGATACCAGAAACAATCTCAAACAAATTTATGGTAGTAGGCACATTACACCACCCAATAAAACTAAAATCATATCTGTTGGTTTCAGAAACAGAAAAATATATACAGAATTTTCAATCAAATATAATGCATTTGGTAATTAAAAAATTTTCTGAGAATAATTAACCAATTCAAACTGGGTTCTACTGTTACAAAATCTTCATGCAACAAGCATTTCAGCAATATGAAGACATTTGATTAGGTACAAGATGGAGTTGTCAGAGCAGATTAATAATCAAATCCTAAAATTTTACATTCCATATTTTGAAGTCCATATACAGAGGAAAGGGACATACCTTTAGACTTGCTAGAAAAGGAATCTACATCACTGGCTAATCCACCAAACCCAGAACCACTACCAAAACCACTTCCACTGCTAGATATGTTCATGTCGCTGCCAAAACCAGTATCAATCCTACCCGAACCCATGGACTGTAAAGACATGAATCCTCCCTTTTCTCCTCTGTTCTTTTCAATCTGAGAAGCAAGTGAACAATTTAACCTAAAAATTTTCAGAATGAAAGGAAAAGAAACTCTGCAAACTTTGAACACAGCCAGCAATCACCTTGCTTTTGTCAATCTCACTAGCTTTGCGTTTCATGACATCCTTAGTCTCGTTAATCTTACTCTGCATTACCAGCTTGTGCAATCTCTCTTCATGACTCTCCATCTCACAATACTGTTTAACCTGTGCAACAGTAACATTCTCCTTGTGCCCAAGGAGATGACTTCATCAAATGCAAAGATAAGCTCAAAGGCTGTCTTACAAATGCCCTCTTCATCTAAAGAATAAGAATACTCAGGAACCTACACAAGATTAAGAAATCAACAAATGACCAGAGATCAATATTTCGAAAGCATCGCCACCAAGAGTTTCGAAAGAACAAAAGGGCTAACAGAAATTTGCATTGGTATTCCTTTAAATGAAAATTCATATAGCTTAATAATCAGGCTATAAATTTATTTATTTATGGATTTTATAAAATCAGAAGTATGTGAGGCTTCATTTATCAAGAAGATAATCCTTTTTCACAAAAAATATTGAACATGGCGCTCAGTAATGTAAGCATTAGCTAAGTATTGACTATTGATAGAGAAGTTACCAGTTTGGGAAAGCAACCTCAGTGTCTCCAAATCTTCAAGAATGTTGCTTTGCTTGTTTGTCACAAGCAATAAATACAAAGCCTCAATTGGCTGATAAACATAGCGTACATTTTCAGTCTCAACGTATGTATGTTGTTTTCCTGTTCCAACCAACTTAGGGAAAGCTGCAAGAAGTCCCTCAATTCTTATGCGAGACATGTCCACAAACTGTCTCGAAACAAGTACTGAACAAAAGAAAGAAAAAAATACACATATATGAATAAAACAATTAATGACAGTGCCTCAAAAAGTTTCACAAAACATAGCCAATCATAGAGGGAAAAGCTTTTGAAGATACTCCAACTCATTAAAGCATGCTAGAACATTCGTGGAAAACCAAAAAATATATCAAAGAAGAAACTAGAACTAAGAAGAAGAGAGACTCCTCCAGTTTCTAGGACCGAAATTATCAGTTAAATCTTAATTAAGATAAATTAAGAATAATAAATCAAAAGAAAAAGAAGGTACAGGGCTCGACACATTCACTCATAATTGATCATGGGGTAAACTTGTATAAAATGTCTTCTTTAGATATTATGATAAAACTAAATCAGGATTGTATTAATATATGAGAGAAAATAATTCTAGAAACATATGATCCCTCTAGCACACATTGAACTACATAGTCAGCTTAAAATCAAATGAAAATGCATTATCTCTGTTACCAACAAGGAAAATCAAGTTTTTTACATTTGTACTACCCCCCCCCCCCCCCCCCCCAAAAAAAAGACACCAATTCTTCTCTATTTTTTTCTTTTCTTTCCTCTTGACTACTTCCTCTCTCCCTAGATTCCACCTTGGCCATTAACAGCCCATGGATAACCACCCAAAACCTACCTCCCTCAACATGCAGCTGGGAGCCATTGGTAAGAGGCCATCAAAAACCAATAGCCTGGCTAGCCATATGCCTTGCACTTTCCTCTCCCTTTCTCACCAAAATTTGAACCACAACATTTATGCCATCATAATACCACCAATAATGTGTGATTTGATCTCTCCAAAGATATAGAATTTAAATTTTAATATTTATAGTCCATAAAAACCACTCAGTTTTCTCTCAGAACTTTATCTGGTTGTAAAACCTAACCCCTACATGTACATGAACATGCGTGTAGGATTTCAAGCTCTCCACAGTTTCATGCAATTAAGACTATATTATAGTGGCTTGTCAATTCAACTTTCGCATTTGGCCAGGAAAAAAAAATCAAAATCTGATTTGATTCCCTCAAATAATAAAGAAATTCCTAAATGGACATCTAACAAGTCAAATTATGTTAAAGCCACAAGCAGTAGGGAATATACATTTATTGACAATCAGGCTCAAGAAAAACCTACATCTTGATATATTGTGAATATACAAGAAAATATGAGAGCATGCTGCTACCACCCAGAAGTTTTCCTATTTACATCTTTTAACTAAATTGAAGCATTTTTAAGTCTGCCTATGCATTTTCCTAGGTTAAGCTATTCAATAATAAATAGTAAATTTTGTGGCAAATCCTCCACATATTATTTAGCTTAGTATCTTTTTTCTTGTTCTTCCTTCAGGATGTTCAAGGTTGAGTATTGTATGGTTGTCACTGACATTCCATGTGAAAATCTGCATCAAGCCACCAACAAGTAAATAAAGTATTATACTTCTAGTTTTGAATGGTTTGGACCTCAAAATTCTATTTCATATTTAATAAGCCAGTCTGAGTTTTGGATTCAGTGTGTACTATATATATGTGCAAATAATTGGTTCCTTCAGTGAATTGCTTAAGCTTTTGTACACTCCTAAAAAAGATATCAGTTCTTAGGTGTTTTTGGTCTATATTTTAACAATGATTTGGAGCACAATGTTACACATGGGGACTTGCAACAAGGCTTCCTTGTAATTAACAAAAAGTGACCAAAGTTTGTCACTTGTCACATTGCCAGGCCAGCTTATGGGAGGGACTTTGAAGTACCTGCTGTTAGAGAGAATATTTCTCCCCCCATAATCCTTGGTCAGAAAACCTTTTTCATTTCCTTTATTTTCTCATCCAATCTTGAAATGTCTTGTGTTATTATTAGGTATTAAGTGTCCATATGATCTTGCTCCTAATTTAGCAGGTGGAGGTAGGTTAAAAAAAGTGACTTACTTGCCCAAGGTGGGGTAGGACCTTTATGGGTCAGGTCATTATATGAAATACATCATAGTGAAGAATTGTTGACATCTATGTCCCAGATTGAAAATTTTTAACTTTCCAAATCAGGCTTTCTAAAGGAACTAGAATTAGTGGGAAAGGTCAGCTGATACTGCAAATCACAGTTGTCCTTAAATTCTGTACAACACTAATTTGTGGATTCGTTTTAAGTGGTAGTATACTGCTGGTTCAGTTATTTTGAAAAAATGAAATGAAATGAACTGAAAAATTTGAAGCCTGATAGATTAGTTTGTAAACAAACATGTGTTATTGTCCATGCAAGAGCTATGAAGTTGTGGGTAATTCTAAAAGCCAACATAGAATATCTTAAAAAATGTTATTTCCTAAATCTAAAAGAGAGGGCAAGAGCTGAATTAGGGACGAGTGGTTTACAATTTCATGCTCTGAGTAATCAGAATAATGAATAAAAATCAGGACTTCTAAGCTGACATGTTAAGTATATGGACAAGAGATCAGTAATTAAATGCTAAAACTCATGCAAATCAAATCATTTCATCGACACTAAGATACTCACCTTTGCCAGTTTTGCTGACAATAGAAGCTGCGAGGAGAACCTGCACCACAGAAATATACGATAATGACCATGAAAGAATTAATATTCAAATATTATAACACTATTAAAATAAAATTTGAACAGTCTAAACAGATCAAACAAACAGGCGCAGAATTAGTTTCCTTTTTACCAAATTTCATTTTGGCACAGAGGCAAACAGAATATCAATCCGGAATTGAGTTCTAGAGCCCCATAAAATCAAAAAATCTCCACCAATCAGCAAAATTTACCATTTTAAACCAGCGGGAGTGAGAATTTCACCAACAGAAATGCAGCAAATCAATTCGTATCGCGCACCTATACAATTGGCGCAAGTCAGCACCTATACCTACGCAGACACACTTATGGAAAAGATAATTTACACCGATTTCGTAATGTAGACCACTCGAGTTAAACACTAACCAATAAATGTTGGATAAATTGATCCGATCTCAGCAGAAAATCAATGCTGACATCAAATTGGAAGCGCTAAAATGGAAAGGAAATGATTAGATCTGGCAGCAGAAACGAATTAACCGGCAAGAATTCATCGCAGTGGAGCTAGATCTGTAACAGCAAACGATAGAGTGATAGTTATACGGCAAGGAACAGCAGATTCAGAACGTACCTGAGATCAGAATAGAGAACTGGGTAGAGCGGGACGCAGAGCACTGCAATTTTGTTAAATCAGTTTCCCGAGCCCTTTTATAGTGTCTAAAATCTGCGAACTGCGTTGAGTCTGCAGCGCCATTTCCTATTTATTCTGATTTTTAATTTTTAATGCAAAAATGGTAAAAATGTTCTAATATATTATAAATGCAGTAATTTCTTCTATATTTATTAATTTTTTTATTTTTGCAAATTTATTCTCTAATTACTGATGTTAATCTCAAAAATTGTCACGAGTTGTTGGTTATTTGCCACGATAATTATTCAATTTATAAAAACTTATAAAAAAAATAATAATGTAATTATTAATTCTAAATTACATTTGCAAAAGGTTAGAATATTTACCATCATTTTTTACATTTTCCCAGTTGCATTGCAATATTTATAAATTTAATTTTTTTTTAAAAAAAAAAGGACTAACAAACAGTTCAAAAAAAGGGATTTATATGATGTCGTGTCACCAATTCTTTTCTTTTCCAATCCAAAATTACTATTTTTGTTAGGCTGCATTGATGGACGATGTTTGAGTTTATCTATTTATATTTATAAAATTTTGAAAATAATTGTAATAAGATATAGAACCAATTAAAATAACTTGTCTAGAATTAGTGAATTGAGAGGGAAATATAAAATCAAAATTTATATTTTTGTACCACCGAATTCAGATTAAAATGAGCAAATTTGACATGAAATTTTAATTTTTTGTTAGTAATTTTTGTAAACAGCTATCCGACTAATCAATGGGACAATTAGAGCAGGCAATGGACTGAATATCATCACCTTGTCCAATTCTAGTCAAAATCAATGGTTTAAAACTTGGATCAATGGGCAATTAGAGCAGGTAGGTGGACTGAATGTCAGCATTTTGTTGAATTCTAGTCAAAATCAATGTTTTAAAACTTGGATTATGGATAAAATTATAAAGTCACGAGGATATGATTCAACTAATTTGATCATTGATCAAGCAAATTAACAATAAAAACTATAAAAAAAATAAATAAAAGTTTAAAAAGTTTAAGAAATTTTTAATAAGTTTTTTTAAGTCTAATTATTTGAATTGTTTTTATTTTTATTTTTAAAGTATATATGACATGTATACATATTTAAAAAAATATAAGTTTTTCAAGAAAATTTTTTGATTTTTTTAAACTAATTATATCAAAACTGATCAAACCAACCAATCATAGCAATTTTTAACCAAGTTAGATTAAAAAAAATTATATTTCTGCTTAAGAAGTCTCATCTTGACTATTTGTTAGGTCGGATTATAATTGAATCAGTTGAATTAGATGATCCAATCAAAGTTTCAAAACCTTCATAAAAAATTGTGGTCAATTTGTTATTGTGATCCCTTTGACATCCATGTGAGTAGATTTAATGCTGAGATGCATTTATTGAGATAACATACTTAACAACTATTTAATTTGTTAATATTTACTATAAATGTGTATAAAATTTACAAATGTAAAGAATGTTGAGAGATTGCGCTAATAAGTGCACTTGAAATCAAATAAATCACGATATAGTTGTAATTTCATCCACATGATGTTTTGTTGACTGAAGGTCACCGAGGAAAGGTGAGGGAGGTAAGGCTCACCAATTCTTACCATCCCATTGCCCTTGACCAAGGTTATGACAAGGGGAGAAACTTGGTTGGGTGCAATTGGAAGCCAGCGTACTAAAATTTGAATTTGGACAAGGAATTTTAAATTATAGGTCATTTATGGTCTAAAATTGGTTAACTTGTGAGTATCTATTGCTTATGTATGTAAAGATTCATCAACTAGATGTGTAAACCCATTGCAAATTTGATAGCTCAAATTTGTCTTTCTTTTGGTATCTCTCTTTCAAATTCCGTAACTTTACTATTTTTGTATTTTAAATTGTGCTATATCTTTATAATTAATTATTTCTCTTAATATATATATATATTTTTTTTTCTTTCTATAGAATTTCCTTTATCTTTATATCACATATTTATTGACTTATATATCTTACATAATTATAAATTTATACTTAAAATTTTTCAAACCTAATGGATTGAAGCCACATCCATTTTCCTAAATCAAACCAACGCCTCTAACCTCTTTCATTGTCAAATTGCACATTTTTGCTTGACTTGTATGAACATCTTACTCTTGTTTATTGTTAACATTGAAGTTCAAACATCCCTAGCAAAATGCCTCTTCCTTAATAAACAGGTGAAAAAGAAGGAATAGAGCAGGAATGAGAAAACAGAGTTTTTTCCTTGCAGGGATTACTTCTTATTACCATTGACATCAAAGGGAAATGAAAGCCCCCAAATGTATTATATTTATATTCCGTACTTTAATATTTGCGTCACCCTATCACTTGGGCTTCTAAAAGTGTGTCTCAAAAGTGATTTTAAACTTTTCAATATAATGAAACATTTTAAAATTTTTGAAAACTCGATTGTGACTTTTACCTTTTTTTTTCATTTAAATAGATAAAAATAGAAATTTTCTTCATGTGATGGGATTTGTTAGCTATGGTGGAGTTGTTAAAAAAATATTTTATTAATTGACTAAAATTTTGTCGTTAACTAGAATTTAAGTGACAAAAAAATAGTGAAAAGAAAATATAAAGAGCGCATTAGGAAAAACTAATGTGAAATTTTATGAATTTACTCATTTTCTCTTTAAAAATATTTCTTTATTTTTGTGTGCAAATAAATTTCAACACTGTCGCAGCGTGAGCTTACATTTGACACATTCATCCCAGAGTCAGTGATAATGGACATGGTGGCGACATTTCAATTAGTATAGATAAATTAGGATTTAATTGAGTATTTTTTTTAATTGGAGGATCAAATAAAAAAAATTTAGAAGCTTCATTTTTTATTAAGATTGTGTTTAGAAGGATTTATTCACTTGTGAGATATTTGGCGTGTCTATAATAACTTTTACTTCTATTAAATTAAACTAATTAAAACTAATGGTTATGGAATTGAACCATATTGGTTAAGACTGTCAATCAGTGCTTTTTCAATTTAGTTTTCATACAAAATTGGTGAGTTCACAAAAATTGTTTTATTTATTTTTTTAGATATATATGAACCACCAATTAGGCTACTTGGATTGATGAATCATTCACAGTTACTTTAAATTGAACGATCAAATTATTTTTTTCATCCTTCTCTTCTTCGCCAGTGGTGCTTGATGATGTCATTAACAAAGGTAAGATCAAAGTCGAGGTAAAGGATGCAGTGGACAAATGAAGGAAAGAGATGAAAAACAAGGCACAGCAATGTGGAGAAGACAGTGATACATCGCTCAGGAGTGTGGTTAGGGATGTTTTCTCCTCTTAATTTGTATTATCTTCTCTACTTATTTCTCTTTACAATGTATGATTTAAAAATAAATTACACGTACTGTGTTAAATTTTTTTAATATATTTTATACATAAAATTTACTCTTTATTATACTCTCTTTTATCTACTCTTATTTTTGAATTTGTAAGAACCTTGGCAGTCACTCGCTAACTCTTGTTGTCTTTCTGTCGTAGTCGAGAAATGTAAAAATTTATTTTGGATTTGGGATTTCATTTTTATCACATTAAAAGAAAATCAGGGCAACGGTGCGCTTTTCACCGACGCGCGAACTTTAGCATCGCCTTCAGCTAAGCAGATGAGCTGGTCGACGGTCGCCTACGTGGCGTACTGTCAGGTCAACTGCACCGTCAAGTCCCCATAAAAGCAATTTCTTTTTACCGAGTCAAAAGCCCGGAACTACACTCCATACGAGCTCACCACCATCACCCCTCTTTCCCTAGGGTTTCTTTCTCTGCTCTGGATCTTGAACCATTCCATTTCCCATCTGCCAAATCTAGGCTGACCATCTTCAACACTTTCAGGGCTCGCGTGCAGGTGGGCTTCTAGGCGTGTTGAAGTGACGGGCTGATAGCTTTATTTGAAGATTCGCAGCGCCATTTCGGAGGGCTTCGATGCATTTAGGTCGGGCTCACTTGGTTGCGTAGAATCTTCGGTGGTTTTGCTTTCGGTCGACCGGTTTGATTTTCAGCTGCGATGCTGGGAACGTCGTTGTGACGCTAGAGATTTCGGTTACCAGTAGTGAAATCTTGTGGATTTTGTTGCGGTAGTGAAAATTTTGAAGTGAAGAGTTACCATTTGAGTGGAATTTCTGGAATGTCAGTTTATTCTAAGATCGATATGGATCAATAGTGAAATATTAGTAGATTGCCTAGCGTAGATTGGAGTCTTGATGTTGTTTTAGCTTCATTGCATGCTTAAGCTGGGCGTGAATCTTTTGTTAATTGCTTGGTGTTTTATCGAATCTACCTGTGGTGTTTGAGAGTGGTTAGTGATGATCTGAGTTATGGCGCTCAAGGTTTCAGCTCCTGAAGCTGCCATACAGTCAATTGGACGTGGATATGATGTTTCGGTAGATCTGAGGCTCAAATACTGTAAAGGGGATTTGGATAATCCCCGCTTGATTGAAATCGACGAAGATCAGGGCAGGGAAATTGTTCTTCCGGGTGGAATTTCGATCGCTAATGTTCCGAAATCGATTAAATGTGATAAAGGAGAAAGGACCAGGTTTCGGTCTGATGTTCTTTCTTTTCAGCAGGTATCTTTGCAATTTTTTCCGTGTTAATTCTGAATGAATGAACACTTCGTTGCATGTCGAGGATTCTCTCTCTCTTTTTTTATTTTTGGCTGTCCTGTCTAGTGGTATTTCCGTTGGCTGTTAATAGCTGAAGATTTTACAGTCTCGGTTCTCATATTCTCAAAACGAATCGAGTATTCTGTGAAACTAAATCCATAACTTTTGTATTTAGACAGAGTGAAAAGTCCCAATTGGTTCAAACCCAGGCATAAAGGGTTTTGGTTGGGACGTTAGAATACATCGCCAAAATTGAAGTTGAAAAGTTCCTGTTATTGCTGTTATTGACATTAATATCAGACTAAATATTAAAATTTCGGTGAACTGAAATGCAGCCTACTGTTGAGAGCTGGCAGGTTCATGTAGGGGGTGGGGAGTTTGACGCCTCACCCTTTTCCCACCCCCAATTATTGTAGGTTATTTACTTGTGTACACCTGGGAGTTGGCTATGCCTCATTGCATGGGTCCTCAATAATCGTCAAATTTTGGTTAAATTTGACCTAGTAGTTGTAGACTTGAAATGGGCTTCCCAAAATTAGTTAGGTTATTGGTAAACTCTGATCTGATATCTCACTGTTGAGGTGGATTCATCACAATCATAATTTCAAAAGGCCTGTTTCTGAGCATTTGTTTTCATGTCAAATCACCGTTAAATTAGTAAGAAACTGTTACATTATTGCATGTCTACACTTTGAACTATATGCTGCGTTAAAAGGTTTGTAGACAGACAGATTTTTATAATATATGTTTTCAGTTGCGTCTCACTTAATGCAAAACATGGAGGCTGTCTTTGTCTGACCACTTCAATCTTGAAATGCTTTGTTCTTTTACAATGAATATTTGTGCTACATTTGATGTGTTACTCTAATTGTTTATTTGAATTCGAGTGAAATGTATGGCATGCTATTTAATGTATTTTCATAATTTATTTTGGGTATCTTAAGAATTTTTTTTCCCTAACAGATGTCAGAGCAATTCAACCAGGAGTTATCTTTGACGGGAAAAAATTCCTTCAGGCCTTTTCAATACTATGTTTGAATTCTCAGGCTGTTGGCAGAAAGATGCATCCAACACCAAAACTCTTGCTTTTGATGGGGTGTTTATCACTCTCTATACAGTTGCATTAGAAAAATCTCAGATGGTACTTTGTGATCATGTCAAAAAATCTGTACCATCATCTTGGGAACCTGCTGCATTGGCAAGGTAAATTTGAACTCTTCATCAGTATATAAGAGCAGTCTATCCATCTAGTTTTGGAATTCTAAGCTATTCTCAAAGTTTCTACTGTATTTCAACTGTTTGAACAGTGGCTTTCTTGAACGAATAAGTGTCCATGCATGAATTTTTTTCATATAATTATTTTACTTATCTGTTGATGTTAGCCTATTCATTTGTTCATAGCCCTTTAATCAGATCTTGAAGTTTGGTATTACCTGATTGGCATAGTAAATTACACTGGTCTCCTGTGAGATTTCTAACAATGACAATCATCTTCCTTCAAAAATAATGGTGATAGGGATGAATTTTTATAAAGAAAATGGATCTGAGGTGGGATAGATATTCCTTTTTGGTGTTTGAAGCTTAATTGATTTTGGTGAAAATTTCTGTTGGAGATTTGTAGCTTATTTTTCATGCTAGTGATAATGGGTTAGAGACTATGTTTTGACTTTTGAATTTGGAACTTGTTTCTATCTGTGGGAAAGGGGGAGTTTTTCTAATGGGATAAGAAATCCAATAACAAATTTGGATTTTTCGTTTCCATCTTGTTTTATTGGTTTATTTCATTTCAATTTTAGCCTTTCCCCTTGAACTTGTCATTGATCTTGCTTCATAATGTGAATGACTTAACAAGGGATGATTGCAAGTGTTCGTAGCTTTTCCATGATCACAAAGTCATTTCAAATTGATATTCAGTTTAGTCGATTGAGCTCCATTTTGTTTATAAATTAGAATTGTAATGCATTCTGGTGCCCATGTTTATAAATCAGGTTTATTGAAAAATTTGGCACGCATATTGTTGTTGGTGTGAAGATGGGAGGAAAAGATGTAATATATGTGAAACAACAACATTCATCAGCTCTTCAACCTGCTGATGTACAGAAAAGATTAAAGGCAATGGCAGATAAGAGATTTTTAGATGCAAATGGACAGTATGGCATGGATTCGGAGCATGTTTACCGAACTGACAAGGTTTGTTATAAGTTTCTCTATTACCTTAAAGATTCAGTTTTGTTTTTTAAGAATTTGGACGGTTTTTCAGTTTGAACCTTGTAGTTTCATCTTGGAGACTAGTAGCTCTATTGTGCCAGCAAGTCCCTTGATAAAGTAATTCAAAAAAGATCTTCCCTTGACTGATGTTTCTTCCTAAAGATTTCTGTGGAGAGAGTGAGATGTTAATAACTCAGATGCATGATATAGATGCAAAACTTTCATACTTCGGACCCTTTTGGGGTGGCTTAATTTAATCTCTTATCCTTTTCCTTTTTCTGTTTGGTTTTTTTATTTAGGATTGCGGTTCCCTGAGCTTCTTGTGTTGTTTTGAACTAAATTGTAAAGATTACTCCTTTTGAAACTTTTTTGAGCTGTTTGACTAGTGATATACATGAATCATTTGGAAAAATATTCCATCTCTCTTATCTAATTGCTTTGTTTCAGTATGATATCAGGGAGCATCGACTGAGGTTTGCAGAGACTAGCCCAGGAAGTTCTTACTCACACAAGGAGGTATGTTCTTGCAAAAACTGTCCTCTGGAACTTATTTTGATTGGGCTGCTTGGGGGTCTTATTGCTTCTAAGGGGGTGTTTTGAATTGAAAAAAAAACCCACTTTCTTGAATGCTTTCTTTAAGTTATAGAGAATTAACTTGCATTTCAGAGTTGGTTGTTTTCAAGTAATAGCCCTAATCTGCCAAAAGCTTATTAAGTTAATTCTCTAAGTTTATTATAAAAATCCAGATGTAGAATTAAAAATCCCACCTTTTTGTGAAACCAAACACCGATTTATCTGTTTGCATCGCCTTAATATTTTTTTCCAAGCAGGATATTGTAAGCATTTGCAAGAGGAGAGGAGGAAGTGATAATAGAAGTCTGTCACATAATGAATGGCTACACACGGTGCAATTAGAGCCTGACGTGATCTCGATGTCCTTTATCCCAATTACCTCTTTGTTGAATGGTGTCTCTGGGAGTGGGTTTTTGAGCCATGCCATAAACCTTTATTTACGCTGTGAGTAAGATCTTCTGTTTTCTCATTGTTATTTTCATTGTGTTCTTATTTTGCATCATTGCTCTGTTAAGTCGTTATCATGTCAAAATAATACCCTTACCCTGTTGTAAGACTGTTAACTTGTATGTCCCTCCTTTTCTTATACATCTGTGAAATGTTTAAGCATTACATTGTTGACGTTGGCCATGTCCTCTTTCATGCTTGCAGATAAACCACCAATAGAAGAACTCCACCAATTTTTAGAGTTTCAGTTGCCGAGACAATGGGCACCCGTTTTCAGTGAACTTCCACTTGGTCCACAGCGGAGGTTACAAAGCACAGCTTCCCTACAGTTCAGCTTCATGGGTCCCAAGCTTCATGTCAACACCACTCCGGTAAAGCTATTGTAATGTTTTTGTCTATTCACTTTCCCGGTTTAATTCTAATTCTCAATCTGAAGAGGACTACATGCTCTATTACTGCTTCTTGTCAAATTTCTTGTCCTCACAGAATGCTTATTTTGTTTCTAGATCAGCATTATTTGAACCCTCTATACAATTAAAACCATATCATCCGATATGATTCATGAACAAGAAAACTAAACATAAATGTTGTGTAAATACCTGGAATGGTGATTGAAGGGGGGGGGGGGGTATCTTGACAGCTGTCTGCATGTAAATTACAAATGCTATAAGACCTTACAAGGATGTGTGCAGATGTCACATGTCACATACAAGTTACTGACGTGATGTTGGCATACTTAAAAACTATTTGGATCTCTGCTGCCACTTATACTGATCTCAGCAAAGGGGTCCATGCAGTGATTTTTTTCCCTTTAATCAAATCGTGGCAGGTTGATGTAGGCAAGAGGCCTGTGACTGGCCTCCGACTATATCTAGAAGGCAAAAGAAGCAACCGCTTAGCTATTCACTTGCAGCACCTTTCCTCCCTACCAAAAATACTCAAACTTGAAGATGATCCAAATGGCAACGTCGGCCCAGAGTCTTATGATCGGAGATACTGCGAAAAAGTTCAATGGAAGAATTTTTCCCACGTATGCACTGCACCAGTTGAATCTGATGAGGATCTTTCCATAGTAACAGGAGCTCAGTTACAGGTTGGGGATTATGGCTTCAAGAAAGTTCTATTCTTGCGACTAAAGTTCTCGACTGTTTCAGGAGCCACGATGGTAAAACACCCAGAATGGGATGGCTCACCTGGTCTGGCCCGTAAATCTGGACTCATATCAACTCTAATTAGCCATCCTTTCACGACGACATTTACCAAGCCACCGCCTCAGCCTGCTGATGTGAATATAAACTCAGCTGTTTACCCGGGGGGGCCTCCAGTCCCTGTCCAAGCTCCAAAACACTTGAAATTTGTTGACACAACAGAAATGACAAGGGGCCCACAAGAGCCTCCAGGCTATTGGGTTGTTTCTGGTGCGAGACTTGTGGTTGAGAAAGGAAGGATTTCGCTACGAGTCAAGTACTCTTTGTTGACCGTGATATTATCTGATGATGAAGTTGTAGATGAGCGCTAAAGTCATTTTGATGTCTTGAGAGAGAGCTTGGAAGGGTTTCAATTGAATCAAAGCGGGAGAGAGGGGCTATATATTAAGATATGGGCTATTTTGAAGCTGAAAGTCCTGATACCTGTTTATAGGAGGCAATATACAATTTGTTGGGTGGGGGAGGGGTGGGAGGGTTGTGGCAGTGATTAGAGCAAAGCTGGAATCATGGTGATTGTATTATAAATCGTCTCCTTTAATTTATGTCTCTGTATTTTTTTTTTGTTGGGGCATTTTCTTAACTTACCGGCTGTTATATAGTATGATTATTAGTTGTTTTGCCTCCTTTGTCTTTGCATTTCCCTTGTGTATTCTCCACTACCGTTTATTGTTGCCTGATGCAAAAAGGAATTCCAATCCATCTCTCTTTTTTGTTCTCTTTGTGTCTTGAGGAATTTCAGTCTCATTAAATCATTCCAATTATTTTTCCCTCTAATTCATTTTGCATGGCAGGCCACAAGGTTTTTCTTTTACTCTTATTTTCTTCTCTTTTTGCCTTGTGGAACAGGTTAGTAGGCTACAAGGTAGCGATTCAACTATTTACTTTCCATGAGAACTTGGAAAACGTCAAACTGAAATATATGGTTCATCAAGGAAAGAAAAATCTGGCTGTTGAAGTTGAGCATTGCCTTCTCATATTATGCTTATTTGAGCAAATAGCAACGCGGCAAGTTGAGCATCCATAACGCAAATCAAGAGTTAGTGAGTTGTTAGGGTTTTCATTTGATTTATTTCGATTTTAATTTTTTCCAATAAGAAAGTATATAGCAATTTTAAGTCGGTGTATATTTTCTTTTTAAAAGTAGAATTCAAAATAAGTGGCTTGAGCTTTCAGCATCTTTTAAGGGGAAAAAGAATAGGGGGCTTGCGATTCCCAGTAGTCAACTTAGAAACCACCTTGTTCAAACATATCATTTTCGAAAGTTGGTTGTCCGTTAATCGGTTGATGTTTGGTAATAGTTGCCTCAGTACATTGGTAGCTTGGACGTCAAACTAACAGAACTGAATATAGCAGTTTGGTCAGTCCATGAGAATACATACAATGAGAGGTGGAACTTAACTATTAAGGCAAGGTAACAGGGATAATGATGTTCATGGGAGGGCCTACATACACCTTCCCTTGGACAGGGGAAAGGAGCAACCTGGGTTATGTGGGTTGGCCAGTGTTGTCCCGGCATCAGTACCGGTAAGTCGGAAGCACGTGATGTTGACACTTTGTCACCCACAACACCTACTTACAATCACTAATCAGAGTAAAAGGAAACCATATAATTGGCTACTACAATTTCACCGCGTTCATTGGCAACCCCTAGTTTGAAGTGGCAACGAGTCCTTCCCCTTTTGAATTGCTTCCATATACAATCCCGAAATACAACAGTTTCAAAGAGCCCTTTCTGCTCATTTTCGGTCCCCACTTACGTAGGAATACTTGAGAAAAAAATCAAACACAGAAAGATATAGTGAGTTGCAAGTTGATATTGTGCGGCAATTAATACCGTCTCTTTGAGCGAAACTATGAACCAGTGACTAGAAGGGGTTCTCTTTCATCCCTGCAGTCGGGAGAACAGGTTCTCCATATCGTACTGAAAGACAGAAACAGCTAGGAAACTCTGAGCTTGGATTGAATCATGAGATTCGTCACCTTGCAAAACTCTTTCTATTTTCAGCATATTAACTTTCAGAAAGGAGTTCAATGTTTCCCACTTCATAGTTTAGCCTCAGGCACCTGAACAGGTTCCCATTTTTTGTAGGGCAATCCAAACAGATTCTTAATTTTATGTTTACTTAAAATGGATTTGATGTTTTCCAACTTTTGAATTAGTTACACTCCCAAGTATTTGCTTTGGTTGCAACTCTGAGTGTTTCATTTTGTTTCATCTTTTTAACTGTTTATCAAATATTTTAGTTGTGGAGTTACCATTTAGATTTGTGCTTCGTTCTTTTGTTTTCTGTTTACAGATTCTGTTTCCCAAAAAAAACAAATATAAAAAGAAAAAACTGTAGATCTAAAGGTGCTATTGCTTTCATAACTTTTAATTTTTGAGCGAAATTAATTTCTTAGAATTTTGAAAGCAACCTTCTGTTGTTTTCGAAAAAGGGGCCTCTTTTCTAAAAGTTCTTCCCAAAACAGTTCTCCGGAACAACTTGTGAAATGGTTTTATGTTTCTGAAAACGGAAAACACTTTCTAAAGCATATCCAAACAGACCATATATCTACGAAGGGCAGGAGCAAAGAAAAGCTATTGATGAGTTTGGTTCCGGAAGGTCAAAGACATTGAAGGTCCAATCAAGCCAGAGCCAGACATTAGCCCTTCTCAGACAGGATTTAACCAAGAAGCTCCACGGAAAGACTTTGGGACATCCATGACTGCCATTTCTTTTGGATTTGTTGTTACTGCAATCTTCGTCTCCATCTTCCTCATCATGGCCATTTTGAACGTTTGTTCAGGGAAAGCCATTTGTCTTCTGCTCAAGATGGCACTTACGGATCCCTCGAAACCGTTCAGAGGGAGCAACTAAGAAATCCTCCCAAAAAATTTAGCGATATTACTCGAATCTGTCAGTGTGTGTGAGAGATGATCCCGAAAATGAACGTCACTACAGGGGAAACCCCTGTCCCTTGGCAGTTTATCTTTTGGCATTTAGTTCTTGGCGGGTACTATCCGTTTCCCTTTTTCTGTTAACCTGAAAATACTCTGTAATATTCTTTCTTCAGTCTCCCGGCTCTGTTACACTTTTCAAGCCTTGCATCCTTTAGAACGTGCAATACTTTCTTATGTAATTTTGTATTTATCTTTTACTATATTTAACAGGGGCTTTGTAATGTTTCCTCTTAGTTTAATTCTTGATATTTTTGTTAAAACAGGGTCTATCATCTCCCATCATCTTATTTCTCTTTGTAAATGTGTCAAAGGCGCTCGTACGCGGGTCACGATGTTATTAGATTAATCCATTGAAGTCGGGTGTGACATTAGAGTATGTTTGAGTAATTTCTTTTTGAAATATTTTTTTCTATTAGCCTAACCATTTCTTTTTTTTTTTTTTCTGTCAATGTGAAAATATTTTCTAGTTTGCTTGGTAGACTCTCAAGAAACTATTATACCATTTTTAAAGAATAAATTTGTTAAGTGTACAATATTTCTTTTATAGTATAATATCTTTATTTTATTTTATTTGTGACATCTGTAATATTTTTTCTCGCTCTAGTCTTTGATGTACTCGTCAAAATAAAGTCCACAAACTTTCATCATCTTATTTACATCCATTAAAATGTGAGAGGTGCTCACACATGAGTCAAGACTAATCTATTAAAGCCGACTTTAATATAAGGATGTGTTTGTATAATTTTTAAAAATATTTTTTAAAAATTATTTTATATCAGTTTTGAAAATAATCAAATTTAATTTTTTTAAAATTATTCAAATACTCTAAAATATATATTTAAAGTATTTATTTAAAAAATAAACTAACAAGGTGATTAATAAGTATTTGTCAATCCTTTTTAAACTTGTTTAAGTTTTGAACCGTCCATAACTCATTTAATACTTGTAAATAGTTTAATCTAGGAATCTAAGAGTAAATTTTTGATATAATTATTCATAACTATACTTAGGTGCAACTTTTTTGATTTAATGATGATTTAATAATTGTTTTTAAAATTGTAAAGGATAGAGGAGAATATATCTGACGGGCCCAAATTAGCTTGATGTGAGGCCACCACAGCCTACAATCCTCTTTGATGTCAAGAGCAAGTTGTCCTTCTTCCTGTTGCTGGGCCCCTTGGGCTTTGCCTTTCGGCAAACATCATGGGCTTGAAGGCTCTGAGCACAAAGGGGAAAACTTTACAAAACTCTTCATCCAGATCCTGAGTAGAGTTCTCCAATCCTCTCTTTCGTCGTCTCTCTGCTACTCCACTCGTTGATTAACCCCATTACATGCATGGCGATCAATTATCAAAGCTTTAATTAAAACAATTATTTAATAGTTATATGCATGAACTGAAGAACTATCCTATGATCTTAAATTTGATATTTTATCTCACATCGATTTTTAAAACTAATATAATATATTATATAAAAGATTAGAAATTATTATTAAATAATTTAAGTGCAAGTATTTTGAATTAATAATTCAAATTTAACAAGTTATTTGGATTAAAAACTTAGAAGTTATTCCAATGAAAATGCAAACTCATAAGAAAATGAAGAGCAACAGAAAAGGGGAGGAAGAAGAGAATCCACTCTGTTCCATACAACAGTACTCATAAGAATTCATGTGTGTGAGAGAGAGAAGTGAGGGGAGAGATTCTTTTTAATTATACTCTTATACTATTGTTCAGAATGGCACATGGCTTAAAAGAGAGCAATTTTATGAAGTGCAATGTCGTTTCACTAGACATAATAAGGGTCATCACCTCATCACACATTTGCAAAATACAAAAGTGTACTTTAACGGAGACACCCCCCCCCCCCCCCCCCCCAACCCTTCCACATGCTAGCAAATTTCACAGAAGATATGGGTAGGGTTCTTGAGTACCCTATCTCTCCATTACATTTCTTCTATTATATTATATTTTATGTTTTGTACTACCCCATTTTTTAAAGTTTTTTTTTTAATCTTTTGCAAAAATCTTTAGTTTGAACTTTGTTTAGTGTTTTTAGTATATGGGTGTTTTTTTTTTTTTTTTACTTCTAATGAATCATCAACACAAAAACTAAACGTTTAGAATTTAATAAATTATTTGTCAAAACCTTCATAAGACCTAAATTTTAGTAAACAACCTTTAATACTAAATCTCTCTCTCTCTCTCTCTATATATATATATGTATATATAAAGAGAGGAAGAGAGTAAATGAAGGGAGATTTTTTTAAAAAAAAAATATTGGCACCAACTTTTGGAATTTTGGATGACAAAAGGTTTTACATTAAAATAAATCAATAACTAATGAATTAATTTTGTTATATTTTTG